GATATGGAAATCTTAATCAAAGTTGTCACACGGTGTTAAGGAGATGAAGTGAGATCTGACAACATGTCAACCTCTTTGAGACAAAGACAAGAGGAGGATCCTTTTAGCTTAGTGTAGTACACTAAATACAACATAGCACTAATGTGATTGCAGTATGTACAAACACTAGTCTCCAATGTGATTTTAAACACAGCACTGATGGTAAAGTGAAGCCATGGCAGTCGGGTCACATCTCCCCATTTGCATGCTAATGGCATGAGAGAAACTCCCACCACAATCATTCAGTGGGACCACATTATCACTTGCAATTCAGGGATCAATGATTTCAAACAATAGCGCTGAGCATTCATACATTTAACCCGGAATGGAAACCATGTGCTGTGCGGGTTGCTGACGGTCTGACTGGAGAAGCACGCTGACAGCTCTGGATGGCCTTGAGGTGCACATCAGCCCGGAATAACTCTGCCAAACTCTCAGCTCCATTTCTTTGCAGAAAAACAGTCTTTGTTGCCACTGTTGGCAGCAATCCAATCGCATGTATTAAACTACCTCACAATGCTCGCCAGTCATCGATAGCCCTAAATGAGTGCATATGGTGCCTTGGCTTTGGGCATCTTTTTGATCAGGTTGAGATTTTAATGGATTTTTCTTCGCCTCTGACAGATGAGGCTGTGTGTGTGTGTGTGTGTGTGTGTGTGTGTGTGTGTGTGTGGGGTTCAGCCGGGCCGGGGCAGACTGCAGGCTGCCGGTGTGGTCACTTGAACCTTGTGGTTGCAGAGCAGAGTGCTGAGACACAAAAAGCCAAAGCCATGCTCACAGTGTCCGACAGTGGTAGAGTCAGGAAGTCTGGCGACTGTAACCCCCCCCCAACCTTAGACACACACACATGCCAAGCGGGCACTTCTGCGCACAAACCTGTACTACTACACTTGTGAGGACATTTGTATTGACTTAACATTCATTCTCTGCAGACTTACCTCCACTAACCATAAGTGTACAACCTCAACCTTTAACTTAACCTAATCTACATAATATTTACTTTATAGGCACAATCTGTGATCCAAATGTAAACAAAAGTGTCACCCCACCACCAAAATTAGAGAATTAAAACAAGACAAAAAAAAAAGAAAACCTTTTTAGTGTTGTAATTAATGCTAAACATTCATTGTTAGTGTTACATCATTATATTTGTAAACACTGGAGTAAAATAAACCTACATTTTCATCAGCTGAGAGATGTAAATAATAGTGATTTCCCATCAATGACTCAAACTTTATATCCTTTAAATGTACATGATCATAAAAATGACAGATTGATCCTTTAACCCTAAAACCAACTAGAATATAATTTGTAATGATGTGTCTGAAAGAAAAAAAAAGTTACTTGTAAACTGAAACTTTTGCCAAAAACTTGCAAAATAAAGTTTACAGGCAGAAACTTTCAGATGTAAATGTCCATACTTAAAATAAGTTTAACCCATATTCAGGTCTGTGCTTGCTGACTTAATTTTTCATGTCGCTGCTTTTTGCATGTAAAATGTTTTGTACGTTTGAGCAAACATAACAAATTTACATGTGGAAACCTAAATATTTTAAATTCAAAATTAAGCCCGAAAGCACAGATCAGACATGCAAGTTTCCAGGAACAAAGATAAGATTAAGTCCAAAACTCACTATTTTCAAGCAAACATTTATAACAGATTTAACGTTCTACTAAAATAAACAATTTTCTTTGTTCCCAAATGTAACCTTGCCAACAGGTTTTTGTCTCTACAACACAATGAATACGTATATATTCACAAAGCTGTATTATAAAAAAAATACTTGCAAAGACATATTTTGAATTATATTATCACCAAGAAGTCACCAACAATCCTTCTAATTACATCTTGCAATTTAAACTAGTACTCATAACACTTATTGTTTTTGTAATGGACGATGTGAAGTGTATGTACTCAAGTACACAAGTTTTTTTTTTTACTTGGTATTACTTCTTCTTAAATGTAATATAATAATATGATGTAGGTTGCGTTATGCTTATTACAATTCACATCCTCCAGTCATTCAGTGTACACTGACACTGTGTGCACTTAAAGCTGTAAATAGAATTAATGTGAATGGTGGTAAAGTAGGGAGGCAATAGTTGTTGAGCTGGATTGTCATAAAATCCAATTCAACAATTCATCTGTGTAACATTAAAGGTTTGGACAGATCTGTAGTTGTTTAGTTAGTACCATGCTACTACATATGTTTTAAATATGAATAATGCTGCTAATAATTGATAATTAAATATTTTAGTCCTGAAATTACAAGGTTGCTCTCAGTTAAATGAAAGCCAACACCTCAGTGTAAAGTATCTGTTGTACTTTCATTTGTTGAAACACACAGGTGCAAAAAACTTCATTAAAAGGAGAATTGCCTGTTAAGTAGATTTTTGTAGATTGACCACTATTCTTCCTTTCTTTTATTTACTTACAAAATTTTAGACAAACAATATGAATAGCATATCATTGTGTAAAAGTAAGAGTTCCTTCTTCCATCGCTTCATTTTTGCACTTTAGATACAAACATATTTTTAAAAAACTCAATCTAAACTTGACATCAGACCAGCAACAACTAATTTCCTTCATCGCTTTTTGTGGGAACAATGAGATACAGTACAACTCAACATGCACAGCAAAGGTAGACAGGAATTTAGTAGAGAAAACAGCAGATTTGCAGGCAGACTAAGTGGTTGAGTGAACAGGTTAACAGTGACGGGGGCCTTGAATGGCTGTGACAGGGAGAAAGCAGTGAGAGGCTCCAGCAGTGAAGGGGGAAGTGACCCGGAAACGCTGCGTAAGTGCAGCTTGCTGGGCCCTTTAGGAAAAATCTCTCCAGAAGCACTGATGCAAGTCCACCTAAACACACATTTCTCGTATTTCCCTCGCGCTCTCTGCAGAGATGCATTACTCAGTGACACTCGCGCACACTCATACTCTCTAACGTCAGAGAAAAACAGATAGTGGGGAACCTCTGATTGTTTTCTTCAGACCAGTAACAAAAGCTAATAAAGATTCTCTGATTTGAGTAGATTTTCAGTACTTTGGTGCTTCTTGGTGTTTCTTTCATATCGAAATAAAAGAGCTTCTTGTTGGTGGAGGACAGCACTGAACAGTTTGGATGCAAACACTCGGGCCCTTGTCATGACTTTCCTGTAGCTTACTCTTCGTCTCCTTGAGTTTGCTTTTCTCAAAGAGTCTTGGATTAGATTTTCTTGTGAGGTGTAAAAATGTACATATATGATGATGTGTAAACTGATCAATTATACATGCCCAGTGTGTAGATATGCAGTATCCTGGTCTGTGATTGATAAAGAAGCATTTTCCAACCTAATGTGTTACTCCTTTTCTTTCAAGTTTTTGTTTAGGGAAAGTAGATACCCTTGTCAGTATATAAAAGACTCACAAAGAGGCTCAAAGACTGTGATCTTTAAAAAAAAAACATGTACTTTTTGCCAACCAAATTTAACATTTACAGTCAGCCAAACTTTGTGTATTCTTTTATTCACTGATAGGTCATCATGACTTTGTCAGTATGAGGTAGTAATGTTCGACTGTTAAACTTGTTAAACTGGTCAATTGTATGAAACATACAAACATTAACCAACCTGATATGGTACATTGTCACATTTTATGTTAATTTATTTCTTTTTTCCCTCCATTAAGTGAAAAGAAAGTGTCACATTTTTAACTGTAGCTCATAAGAAACATCCCTCTGCTGTCTTTATACATGTTGATCTCAAATCAGGCTGTTTGTTCGTATGTTTTAAGACAAAATGCCACCTTTGGATATGTTATAGTACAAATAGATGTGAAAATGTTTTGTCCTTTTGTATAAACTGGTACCACAGGTCTATATTCACCTCACATGAGCTCCTGCAATTCTTAACAATTCCAAGCTGTATTCACTGTGATTATTTGTATTATTTGAGTAATAGTGTATATCCTTTCAGTTTAAGTTGTAGACTGAAGACATGTTTTGGCCATTGTTTACATTTTTGTAAATGTAAATAACAGTGTTTTATACAGCTTAAACATGTCTAATTATTAGTAACTCTAATGATATATTTTTCCAGAATACAAAATACTTTTCTTCAACAAGATGATTTGGCCTTTGGTACATGGAGCAGGACGTTCACATACAAATGTCTAAATGCAGTTCCAAGAGTCCAATCCACAAACCCTTGAGTTTGCAGGTATTTGATATTTAAGAACTATTTTAAACACATGGGAACAGGGTCTTTTGTGCAAACTAACAGTAAAGAATCAGACAGGCAGCAAAAGGGAGCCATTAATAACATTTGTGGCTCAGTGAAAAGGAGAGGGACAGAGAAGTCTGCAGAGAAGTTCATTAAACATTTGCAAACCCACTGCATGTAGACACCTGACCTGATGATGATGATGATGATGATGATGCAGGCTGAGACAGTAAGTATAATACAATTACAAAGTAAAGATGATAAATGAATGAATGATACACAAGTGCAGCAGGGAAGTGAACTATTGCTGTAAATGATTTTCTGAATTTTAGCTGTATAATAACAAATTAGCTTCAAGATTGTTTTAGTTCTTTTCGTTCATTACAAAGAAAATAAAGTGACCTGGAGGCCATTTTCAGCCAATTTTTTGGTTCCATCTCGGCCCAACTTACTGCATACACAACATTAGGTTTTAAGGATCCCGACTTCGGAACTGCAGAGGAAATCTCTTAAACCTTCCTACATTTTCTAAAATAACACAAACTTCCTTTCATTTTTTTTATGCAGGAGCAAATGCACAATGAAAAGAAAAAAATAATACAGTGAAGCAGCTCGAATAATCATCATCGATGTTAATTTTCCCGAGAATGTCTTTTGTCAGAATATAATTCAGTTTGAGTCCAAACACTCTGGTAAAATTGCAAATATTACACTTTTTATTACAAAATTCATCAATGTCATGATATACTAACTGTATTCACAGTTTAACAGTCTGTCACGTGAAAGGTCGAGTTGAAACAAACGATAGAAGTGTATAATAATAATAATAATAATAATAATAATAAGGCCATATACATATAAATGACGTGGTGCTCCACAGAAACTCATATAAAAGTTCAGCACAAGAGTTGTTGAAAAATGACACAACACTTTTGACGGGGTTACAGCGTTGATGCAGCATCACTGCGAGGGACATGAACCTACATTCATTCAGATAACATTACCGCGCGAAATAAAACTGCTCAAAGGAACCTCAATGCATGAACATTTTTGTGAGGATAAACTTCCTATTCAGAATTCCCTAACAATTCGAAAATAACAACAACAACAACAACAATAATAATAATAATAATAATAATAATAATAATAATAATAATAATAATAAACAATTTGGAGAAAGACAGAAAGTGACACATGCATGTCTTGGATTAGTTGAAATGTTGCCATAAAGTTGTTTTTATGAAGGCAAAAAAAAAGGTGACCGGCAATGTAGAATTCCGACACAGTTATCGTGATCCCAAACAGAGAAACTCCTCAGTCTGCATCAAACAGGCCAAAATATTTGCCAGTGTTGGAGAAGTAGATGTAAGGCGCAGCATTTGCAGTCGGGTACAGGACAGGGAACGGCATGGGTAACAAACATCCTCCCAGAAGGTTGCTGTCTTTGTAAAAAGTCGGTAATTGCACGTTTTTTCCAGCCTCGGAGAAGTGCTCGGCGGTCAGCGGCCCCTCCATGTCCGTGGAGAGCTGTCTCTTCAGCTTGTTGCGGCGGTTCTGAAACCAGATTTTAACCTGCGTCTCGGTGAGCTGCAGAGAGCTGGCGAGGCACGCTCTCTCCGAGCTGCTCAGATACCTTTTCATGTCAAAAGTCGCCTCCAGCTGGAATATCTGTCTCTTGGAGAAGATGGTGCGCGTTTTCTTCTTGATGGCTTTAGTGTCCGCGGTGGCCTGATGCTGCTGCTGCAGCTCGGACGCGTCCTCGGCGGTGTGCGCACTTTGCGCCCCGGGACAGGAGCCAACGCTCGGTGTGTTTTCCCCGAGGTCCACACGATGGACTCTGGGCTTCGTTTGCGCTGTGAAAGAAGCGATAAAACGTGCTTTGATGCAGCGGTAAAGCCAAAACGTACACACTTGTTTTTCTGCGTGCAAATACATGCGAATGAGAAGCTGCAGAATACTCCCTGTAGCCTAATCAGTAAATAAAAATAACCAACGACCTCTAGTCTACGATCTTAACCCCTTCATTTACCCTCATCGGTCGTTTCTTTACGCACCATTCTGCCTCTAAACATGTCTAAATGCCTACAATCTGTATATTCCTGAGAAAATGTCTTAATCATGGTAAATAACCCACTCTACTGGTTTATCTGTTAAATTCCCAGCTACCTGTCTCGTCTGCTCCGCTGCCATGCCTCCTCCGGACGTCCCACACCTCATCACACCGCGCCTGGAAATCCTCCTTACATCCACGGTCCCCCTGTGAAAAGTCTCCGCTGTTCTGCCGCTTCAGGTTGAGGATGTTGTCAATGGTGAATGTCAAAGAAGCGCTCCGACTCGGGGCATCCTCTTTGCTCATGTTCCCCGGCATTTCATTTGCTCCTCCGAGATTCCCGAAACACCGACGTCTCCGGACGCTCCGAGCACCATCGCTCCTCGGCTGCGACTAGGGCGCAGAGGAGCGGGCGCGACGTTCTTCAACGACCCGGAAGACTGCGGTTTAGCAGCTTTTGATTGGTGAGGTTGCGGGGCAGATGAGGGCGGGATGTAGATTTAAGTCTGGCTGCCATATTGTAGCTTTAAACAATTTTCTGTCATCAAAATTCACGCCTGGTGCCTTTGAACTCCCTTTGACTTGGAGTTTAAAAAACCTTGGAGTCAGCATCACTGTGGGGTCGCTCAACATCCAAACTGGGTCAAAAGATGTGAAAGAGTATGCCACATTCACGCGACAACTTCACAACTCTTAACTACTGGGGTCATGAGAATTATAGGACCTAAAAATAGGTTAAGGTGTCACATAAGCTTAAAAATATAGGGTCACTTCCTCCACAGCAAAAGTCTTTAACTTCTCTAATGTGTATTTCATGAGACTGGAGGTGTGTTCTACCCTGTAAACTTTCTCTTTTTGATCCAACATCTGAATTTGTCATAACCCGGTCTTAGCATATAGCCCATGATTCAGATCATCAAACACATGCCTATCCAAGCTACATTTCTTTGCAATTAGGGACAGTAAATACTTAGCAAATGCAGCTAACACATTTAATAATAATAATAAAAATAATTATAAGTTACCTTCCTAGTAAGAAACCACAACACAATTTATTTGTGCATACGTTTTATTCACATGTGAACATATCAAGTGTACAAAAGTCTGTATTAAAATTCTCTTAAATTAAAAAAGTGTCAGAGAATACTGCTAACAACGTACCCATGCTCGCAGCATCAAAACTCACAAACACCAGATGCCTTTTCTTAAATGATCACGTATATGGTCCAAGGATACAGTGCAGAATAGTCCCAAAGTTACGTGAATGAGCTTCAAATAAGGGTCAAAAAGATTCAGAGCGTGTGGAATACTGTTGGGAAAGAATCTCAAGACCTGCGATTGTAGCTCAGCCTTCGCAAAACCTGTGACAAAACTCTGCATGAGATATTCAAGTTTGTTGAAAAAATTTGTACTGGTCAGAGGAGTACAGATTAAAAGCACAAAGTACAAGTAAATTTAAAAAAGTGAATTGATAGTGCAAATTTTGGCTGTAACAGCAGGACCAAAATGCAAATTTGTAACTTATATGAGTGTTTACTTCACAATCTCGATTTTGACCCCCCCCCCCTCCCATAGGTTTATAAATGCTCATATACAACCACAGGTGCATTCCACAAGCTCAAAATCTTATTGGCCCTTATTTGATCCCATGTGGATCATTCTTACAATTTCTGTGAAACAAATCATCCCCCATAAAAAATCTATACTTAACCTATGTGTGACCTGAGGGCAGGATTGGCTGGGAATATGGGCATCTCAAATAGGCAACAACATCTTTCGTAGTCACAACATCTAGCACTGAATCTTAAAATGACTTAAGTTGAAAACAAATTAGAAAAAAAAACACTGCTAATGTGGAGAAATGGTCTTGTTTAAAGGACTTTAAAGCAGCCAATAAGGATCATCACCTTAATATAAATCTGGCTGCATTTATAGAACCAGTTAAACACAGGATGAATCGACTTTATTGATATCTGACTTCACAGGATCTGAAACTGAACTAAAATGAATAGTTTTGCAGCATCTTTATTTGATTAATTGGTGCCAAAAGAGTCAAAAGTTATACCCGGCTTAAACACCACTTAAAGTCACACCAGTCCGGTCATCTGTGGTGTTATGAACGACACCGGATGGGTGAAGTGGGAAGTCAATGGGTAGTTGATGGAATTAGAAAAGCCGACCACAGGTGGCGACACTCGAGGCAGGCTGGTCAGCGTCACAGGCGTGGCGACATTCTCGCGATACAACACAGAAACCCTGGCGACCCTCTGGGCAGCGTAGGCGACGCCAGCGCTGCTGGCCTCCATGTCCGCAGCGATCTGCCTCTTCCACTTGTTCCTGCGGTTCTGGAACCAGATCTTCACCTGGGTCTCGGTGAGCTGCAGTGAGGCGGCCAGCCCGGCCCGCTCCGAGCTGCTCAGGTAGCGCTTCAGGTCGAAAGTGGACTCGAGCTGGTACACCTGACTCCGGCTGAACACGGTGCGGGTCTTCTTCTTTCGCACCGCTTTCACTTGACCTGAGAAGAGGAAGCAGGAGGGATTTCACTACATGTAACTTGATACAATTCCTGCAACAGTGCAGCTTTAACAGGGGATAAAATATTTTATCATGTTACGTTATATCGCGATTTCACTAATATATCGTGATAAAGTTTAAACTGGAAAGTACATCGAGAAATAGTTTGATAAAATAACCAGATGGGAACATCTGTTTTGGTCAATTCAGTATTTCATATTACCCGCCCCCAATGACTTAATATAACCAGAACTAGCCTATTACAGGGCTAGATAGCATGGTATGTAATTTAATGTTATGATTATAAAATTGCCAAACCCTGCAACTACAACTAAAAACAAAAAGCTGTGAATAAGTAGAAACCATGTTGTAACTATATAACACATTGTGATAAGTAACACCAAGACCTAATTTGGTTCAGTAAAGTTTTAGACAGCAGCAGGAATTACAGCTATATTTTCAAGACTGTTGTTTTATCAGCCGAGACCTGTACAGAGCACAGTTTAGGATTAAGCTAACAGGTTCCCTTTATTAGCCTTTGTGCCACTTAAATGTAGATATCAACTGTGAACAATATAGGCTGATACTTCCAGCCTGGATCCAGGTTGATCAAGAAAATAACGTTAAAAGACAGATGATTGTATTATTTTAAATTTAAATTGCCTAGTGAAGTGTTTCGCTCACCGGACCCAGACACCCACACCAATGTCAAGAATCCCACCCCCCTTCCCCCATCTGTTTCATCGGAATCAAACCACACCAAACCAAAAAGTTAAAAATAAACATCTAAATTTTACATTTACCACCCAACTGTTGCGCCTGAATCGTTTCAAGCGCATGCGTGGTGACGAACAACTTCCTTGTGCAAGGCCGCAGACCACAAAGTGGACTATTGTTTTTTAAGGTTAGTGGGAAGCATGCGCGCTTCGTCCTCACCTGCATCGCAGATGTCTTCGCGAGAGAAGCAGGTGGAGCGTGTGTCCTCCTCCTCCTCCCTGTCGTCCGTCAAACTCTCGTCCCCCTTTTCCTCCGGCTCCTCGCTCTCCTCCGCCCGCACTGTCAAAGAAGGGGAATCCCGGTCGCTCGTCGGCTCGTGGTCTGTGCGTTCACCTTCATGCAGTGGGCCTACGAGTAACGTGGAAAACAAATAATAAATCCTACTCACAATTCGAGCTTCATTTCGCTCATGTCCAGTTGCAGGACACTCTCTGACACCTTTCATACTATCACCAAATGTCACGCTCCCTGTCCTTCCCAAGAGTATTAATAAGCAGCAGTTCTCCGCCGCGAGTCTACTGGAAGCATCAGAGGGGATTGTTGTGTGGATGCCAAACACTGTAAACTCGCACTAGGCTGATTAATGGGGTGTTTTACGCGCCGATGAAATGACAGTTAACGCGCTACAGCCCGTGAGTCATGTCCACTTGTGGCCTACTGGAGAGCCAGAGTGAGATGTTTCTTTGGTGAAAGTGATGAATGCTGGACGCTGCTGAACCCTAATTCTGGTCCAGGTGGTAATTTTAGACTTTTACGCACGGACGAGTAGCCTATGACAATCGTAATTGCAACATGTTACTGGTTTGTACTTTTTCACGATTCAACTCTGTAAACCAGTTTAGCCCAAATAAACAGACAAAATAAGAGCAACATCTTCCTCTTTTCAGAACATTTGTTGTCCCTGGGCTCTTTTTTAAGTGATTAGCACAAACGCATACACATAATCGACAGATGCACTCACTGCTGGAGGTCCCGTGCGCTGTGTTTGGTGATGTCCCGCTCCAGTTCAGCACTTGTGCACCGTCGTCGAGACGTTTTGTTCCCAGTCCCGGACAGACGTGGCCGTGAACGGTAACTTTGAAGCTCGGAGTCTCCCGCTCCTCAGCGGAAGTCCCTCTGTAAGTAGTCCCCAGCAAATTCTCAATGTAAAACGATGAACCTCTCGACGGAGGACACGGCTTCAGTCTTGGCGCTGTATCTTCGAGCATATTGACTTTTTCTGTACTTCCAGGACGATTTTCACTTTTTTTAAACCAAAAAAGAAAACACTCCCAGGTTTATTTAAAATCATTCCGGAGAACGTGTTTTGTTTCCAGCCAGTAGTGATTTCTGATCCGCGAAAACCATCCCGACGCAACGAACGAGAGCAAACGGAGCTCAAGCTTCAGCTGTAAGAGATCCAGGCGGAAATTTCGTCTTGAAGAGACGAAGAATCACTCCAGAAAAAAACCTCGAGACTGTGTCGTTCTTCAGAGCCTATCTTTGGCTGTGTGATAGTCTGCCTTGAGGGACCGTTGATAATGCTGTATTTAGGTCAAACAGGGAGCAATAAAGCGGAGATACAGTGTTGTCCTCAGGGCTGGAGATGGAGAAAGCTTCATGGAGAATGGCACAGTACCGCCTATTGGTTACGTTTGTCCATGCACACTTTATAGTTACTATGCACACTGTAAATCTGTCATCCTCTACATGTTTATCTAACTAATTTAAATACATATTTTTTTCACAAAACTGCAACTTGCATATATAGTATGTCTTAAAATACCAATAAAAGTGGTTTCGGTCATGGGAACTTGACTTTCCATTATAGAGAACACGGTTTTTCGATGGTAATTAAAGTGTAACGAAACGAGGCCAGAAAAAAAAATTAAATTCCTGGCTCAGTTGAAAAAAAAAAGCGCAAAAAATGGCGTAACAGAGCGGGAGAGCCTAAAATATAGATATCAATTATATAAAAAATAGTTATAAGCATGTAACTGAAAAAGTTTGTTTCGTGCTACAAATGTTGTTGTTATTATTGTTATTACTATTAAGAATAATTACATAGCTAATCAATTAAAGCTAAGCAGCACTAATCATGTTAAAGAAAACTAAACAGATGATTGTTTTTTGATGTACAGGCCCAATTAACAACGTTTGTACCTGCAGAAAACTCTATTTTTTTTTAAATCTAAGATTAAAAAACTTATATTATTGCATTTTTACCCTTTACAGCTGACAAATAATGCTGTTTATTTGAAAGCTGTTACACTGATTCTCTATGTGAAGTTGTTTAATTTTTTTAATTGAATAATTACTTAGTTAGTTACTTATCTAATTGTCTGTATATATGTATTAGGTGAGAGTGTGGCCTCATATATGCAACTTGCTATATGCCTTGCCATTGAGTTATTGATTATATTGTTTTAAGATGAAGACGTGTTTTAAGGCGTGCAAAAAATACTTATTAGTCATTTGTGTCCGAGGTGGTTTTTCCACAAAAAAAGTTACCTAGTAAATCTGTGAATATATCTATTAATATCAAGACACATGAGTTGTTAAGATGCATACTGATTGGCTTCCAAACCAGCCGTCAGAACATCCTTCTTGTACAGACACAAACTCGGATTTGAGGTGAGAGACTTTTCCTTTAGGAGATTGAGGCTAAAACATTTTTCTTAGTGTCAAACTGCACATTCGGCACAGTGAAGCTCAAATATCCAAGTGGCGTAACACCAACAACAAAATGTTTGGGTGGAGGGGGACTTTTAAAGTTTGGTTCATCACTTGCACAAACACATTCTCCTGTTCGTAAAACAAACAAAAAAACAACAACAACATACAGTTCACAAAATAATTGATGTTTATGTATGAGTTGTTTATCTCCAAACATGTATTTCCAAATGAACCCTACAGGCTTTGACACTTTTAACATCATCTTGCCTCTGGAGCTGGGAACATGTCATTCCTCCTCCCTGCAGGCTTAAAGGACCAATCAGTGACGTGTAGCCCCATCACAGGCCTCAAAACACTCTCTCACTTTCAACCTGAGTAACAGACTGAGACAGAGGCATTTTACTATGCTCAAGAAATCTCTCTAAATCCTAACATGAACGCTCAAGTGTAGCTTATCCGCAAAGAATAAATGTATTTTATCTTTCTTGGTCCTCTGCCACCTTTAAATGTCCGTAGATGGACTGACAGGGTGTTCCAGCTTAACATGACTTAATTAATACTGAAGGTGGAAAATGTTTCGTCAGCGTCGAAGCTGTGAACAGTGGAGTAAAACACCACTGCGTTTTGGAGTTGTAATAGGATTTAAACACTATGAAAAGCTTACTTTCATCTGTAAGTCGCCTTGAACAAATGCTCAGAACATTCCAGGCTGCAGGTTTTCAGGCTACATGTTGATCAACCTTTTTGAATCCAACTCTTTTCTACTTCTTTTCACAAAGAAAATGTCGAATAACCCTGCAAGAAATATTAGTTATTAAAGGAATCCTAAAAGGGGAAACTGTGCAGAGTAGTAATCTTTCGTATGAAATCCCCGCACAGCTGACCAGCCATCAGTGAAGAGAGGCAGAGAACAACAAACTGATTGTTTTCTCAGAGGAATTGCTCACAATTGTTCCCATTGTGTCACTAAATTGACTTTATTAAAGCCTCTTTGCAAGTAATAGCCTATCAACCTAATACTCTGGATTCTGGTTGGGGTGTAACACCTCCACAGACAAGAGAACTTAACATAAAGTTTAAGATGTGATGAAACGTATTCAGCATGCAGTGTACAGCCAGTCTGGTGCGTAGTTAAGAGCTAATATTTGTAGTTCAAAAGATTTAACCCTTTATGAGTTATGAGTATTGTGGACACTAAGCGGCAAGAGAAGAATTTGCCTCAAACTGAAAACAGTTTGAATGGATAGATGTTTTTAAATAAAAAAACATGCTATCTGTTCTATTAATAGCAACATTTAAGTCAGTGGTTTACCAAAATTTTTAAAGCCTCTGAAAACTAAACTAAGTATTTCTCTATACTATTAGATATTTGTAACTAAACAAGTAACAATTCAATTGAAAAAAAAGAAGCATCTTTAGATGTTATTTATTAAACATGTAATGCTCAAAAATTAGTGAGGACTGTGTGGCTACTTCAGATTTGATTAACAGTGCCCAAACAACCCATGAACGGTCATCAGATTCTGATTCAAATCCGTATTGGTGCACAGAAGTATGTGAGATCACAAACAAACATAGGACTTTGACACAGGACACCCATGTTCGAGTCCCGCGTGAAACCAAACGTCACCGTTGACTTATCTTATGTAACACATTACGTAAACTGACTTATTTATCTTACTCTTTTCCTAAACCTAGCCAAGTAGTTTTGTTGCCTAACCTAACCAAACTGAGCCTCACTAGTGACGTTTTTCAAAAGGCTTTCAGATGAACAACTATCCAATATAAAAAAAATACTAGATTAGAGAAAAGCCGGAGAAAGCTAAACATACAACTTTTCTTCTTTCTTCTTTCTTTCAGTGTGACCCCTTTGATTTATCTCATGACCCTGCTGGGGGTCTCGACCCCAAGGTTGGGAACCACTGGTTTATGATTCTCGTTATGTGAATTCCAGTGTTTTTCTCTGTTGACGCCTTTTTTTATTTAGATGTTGGAAATAAGTAAAAGTATTTGAAATCTGGTTGTATAATTTGTCTTTTTTGTGCAATTTGGTGAACATGTTTTAAGCCTTTGTCTTCTTTAGTACACAGTCATTGACTGGAGTATTTCTGTCTGGCTTTAGTGGAAGTATATGAAGTGGAAGCATATCATGGCACTACATAATTGTTGGTCGGCAGTTCATAAAGTCACAGAGAATTGTAAGAAAGGGAAATTTGATCAAGATTGCTTCAGATTACCTCTCATAATTGTACTTGAACTATTTTGCAGGCTAAAAAAATGGAGGGCCCCATGTTATAGATGCTTTCCTGAGTCTGCTGGAGGTGTTGAAGTGAGGTGTCCGGTATTTAAAAAGATGCAGAATGATGGGAAATGTTGCTTTCTGCTGGGTTTCTTTGCCGAAAATCTTTACCCAGCAATAATTCAGACAGACATGTTTTTGTGTCAGTTTGAAGTAAGCTAGAAACAATCTCATGCCACAATAACATGACACTTCCTTCCCTGTCTCGCCTCATTGTGAGGCGTTGCACAGAGGCATGGTCAAGACCTCTTAATTAATGATGGCACTGCAGCTTTACAAAGTGGATGCGATGCCATGAAGAACTTAACCTCTACATGTCCTGCAGCATGGACTCCAAAGATGAGAACCCTTTATGCTAGCACTTATGGTGTGGAAATACAGTCAAATGGCTAATTCGTTTTGGTTAAGGAAAAAATATATAAATGTTATTCTAGGTTCACTGCATTAATAATTATTTGATTTAAATAGATATAATATCTATTATAAAGATATAAAGTAGAAATATCATAATGTAAAAAGACTCCCTTACAAATTCTCCATTTACAATTTTACTTAAATACATACATATATGAGGTATGAATGTTTATAAGCAAAATGCACCTAAAGTATCCAAAGTAAAAGCACTAAATTATTATATTATCACTACTGATGCATTTACATGTAAGCAGCATTTTAATTTAGCTGGTTGAGGTGCGGCTTATTTCACTATTTTACCTACTATTATGTAGTAAACAAAAAAGCATCATATTTTATGAGCTAATAATATGTTTTTAATGTAGAATCTTGATCTGCAAAGTAGATATTAAATATAAAAAGTATGATTTTTCCCACTGTAATGAAGTGGAATGGAAGTTCAAAGTAGCATAAAATGTAAGTACCCAAGAGCAAGTACCTTGAACTGCACACGAGTGACTTATTTTTTATTCTTTGAAGAAATTAAACTTGATAATTAAATATTAGCTTTAATTAAATAGTCCTTTCAAAGGAGCACAGTCCTCTCAGAGAAAATGTGCTGGAAAGGACGTCTCATCACCGCCTGTCTTCCTGATTACTTTGATTTCCTGACGACAGCTCAGCCATGACAAAACCATCATGAATCTAATCCAGATGGGATTTTAATCCAGTATCATTAAGAGTGTATATGTTTGTCTTCCCGCAAGATGAGAATATTAATAATAGTCTGCTGGGGGATCCTCCACATCATTACTGGCCCTGTAATGGGCCACTGTGGGCAACGCAAGCTGTTGAGGTTAAAGCCACGGCCCACAATGTAATAGTGTATATGAGGTCAGCAAGGTCCAGACATCTTAGGTCGGCCTTAACAGAGGCAGTCAACCAGAAGGCCCCTTTATGCCACATGGAGCTACTGTCGAATCTGTTTGATTCAAGGCTCTCCTGCTCTCCCGTCTTTGTTGTTGTTTTCTATTTCACCAGGAGTTCCTTTACTTTTCTTACCGAAAATGCTGAATTCATTCCCATCAGATGAGATTTGAAACATGCTGTTTCACTGGCAGTCTATGTCAGATAGGTCAGCGCTGGACCCTGCGTGAAAACAGACCTCTGGGGGCTCCTGCTGTCACTTATCAGAAATGCTTCCTAATCTGCGTTTTATACCTGCTCAGAAACTCCAAAAAGAACACTCCAGATTACAAGCATCGA